GTGTGTGTGTGTGTGTGTGTGTGTGTGTGTGTGTGTGTGTGTGTGTGCGCGCGCGCGAGAGAGAGACAAAAAGAGAGATAGAGCACTTGCATGTGTGTGCTTGTGTGCTTACATACACTCATTCTGATCTGCAAGACTGACTCAGATGGGAGTGGGGCGTGTTCTCTTTATGTGTGTGTGTGTGTGTGTGTGAGTGGGTTCGTTTAAGAGGGTGAGGCAGGGGAGAGTGGAGCATTATTTCACACAGACTAAACGTTAGGAATGTCAGACATGTGTATGGATAGACAACGGCGTACGGGGGTTTTGTTACAGACCCTGCTATGTTGGACTTTGATTGGACTTTGCTGCGCTGGCCACAGGCCCCGAGAGAGAGGGGAGCGACCCCGCTACCCCAGGCATCCTGACAGATGGTCTCAAAGGATACAGTACCCTTCACTTCACGAGCAGGGAACTCAGCGGATAGAGTATCCATCATTGAATGATGAAGGTACCCAGGGGGTACGCTACCCCTCTGTCAATGACAGTGGTGCAAGTTCTCAGATTAAGGTAAACATCTGTGAAGATGTGATGTATCTTGTTGTTAAAGGGATGTTGTTTCACCTGAGCTGTAGGTTACACTTCTCAGCGTATCAGGTGTGGATTGTTGGTGACTTGAAGACTGTTATCTTTGAAAGCAAAGGGCGTGCTTTGTGGCTCCTCAGTGTTCATTTTTAATGACACTCCACTCAGGTCAAGTTCACTGCTTCATATCTTAGCAAAGTAGGTTTTAATCATCCTGGAAATCATCTCTGGAAACACTGCCATGTTTAGGCAAATTATAACAGATGTTGTGTTTACAGGTTATAGATTTAGTCTGTCTGATTTGTTTGGGCAATATGATAATATATGTATTATCATGATAACATATGATAATATATAAACATAGAATAATATAATAACAAAAAACTAAAAAGATATTTATGACAGATTTATTTACATTTACTGTTAATAATTGGAGGCAATATTGCAAATCAATGAGCTGGGCTGCTTTTTTTATTCCCATATTGAATTTACAGGATTTTTGCATCATTGTGATGAACTACTTTTGTAGTTGTGATGAACTTTTTAGATTTTAATCCACTCCATTAGCTGAAAACAGACACTCCTGTCTGGTTATTTAATCTTTACAACATCTCTCTATTTAATTGAAAGAAAATATACATAAATTACATTTTACATGATAAGTACCACCTCGTATCATAATTGTTCTACAAGCCTGAGGTTTCTTTTGAGTAGAGATATGCTTATCAGTGGTACATCCGGATGTATGAGTTAGTCTTTTCAAGTTGGGTTATTATGTCTTTATATTTGTGTTTTTTTGTTTTTTTCCAGAAATGTGCTCCTGGTTACTTCAGAGCTGGCAGTGGGTTTTTCCTGGGCCGCTGTGTGTCCTGTGAGTGCAACGGTCTGGCTGATGAGTGTGAAGACAGGACAGGGAAGTGCCTGGTAAGAAACACACTCAACCCTAATTAGTGACTTCATGACCACAGGTAGACACCCACACATACCTCCAGTGTGAGCCACAGATTAATCAGAGTCTAGACCTGTCCTCTTCAGGGTACATCTGTGGGCCACATCACGAGCACTATTTTATATGACTTCCTGATTACCAGTTATGGAGCCCCTCCTGCTTATCATTCTTCACCCTTGACGGGAGGACGAGCCTTTACACATTTCAAAATCTCAGCCGTCTCTGTTGTGCAAGCCGCTCAAGACCGGGCCTGTGTGCGCAATGCAACCTGGCAGCTCAAAGCCAAATGGACACAAGCGGCTGAATACACTCACTCTGCCGTGTGCATCGAACACACTCTTCGATTGATTGGCAGGGAAATGTCTTTTCTCTTTGCCCCTCGACGTTTGCGTTCGTCAGCGTGATAAAAGACTTGATGTGTGGATGAGTTGGTACAGCAAGTATGAAAGGCTCGCTCCAGTGCACTCGCAGTAATTTAGTTTTTTGATCCAATATATATTCACAATGTCATGAATACATTATGTCATTTTCAGAGCTGTCGGTACAACACGGATGGGGATCGATGTGAACGCTGCAAAGAAGGTTACTATGGAAGCGCGGCTCAGAAGACGTGCAGAGTTTGCCCGTGCCCGTTGAGCTCGCCTGCAAACAGGTGGGTGGGACAAAAGGCAAAAATACATCCAAACAGCTGTACTGTAATTAAATGTATATCTGTGTTTTAAGAGTCAAACCATGATCTCCCTATCAATCTGCAGTTTCGCGATCGGTTGCAAAGAAGTCTTTGGAGACGTTGCGTGTATATGCAGAGTTGGCTACACAGGAGACAAGTGTGAGAGGTGAGTGTCTGTATGGATGCTGAAATGCTGTGCAGATACTGTGTATTTTCTTATGCTTTAGGCATTTCACGTTTCTCTGTCTCACCTTTTTCTCTTTCCCGTAGTTGTGCTCGTGGTTACTATGGTGATCCATCGACACCAGGAGGAAGTTGTCGGCCTTGTATTTGCAACGGCAACGGCAAAAACTGTGATCCCAGGACTGGAGGTTAGATTCTGCACTGCCCTTTCATTAATTAACTATTTCATTCTGATACAGTTTATTTCAACTCATTTTGTTTTTTGATCCTTAAACATAGTCATTAATGAAGTTTAAATGTTCTATTTCTGTTTTCTGTTTCTCCAGTTTGCAAGAACACACTGGAGCCGGGAGACACAAACACAGATGAGCACTGCCAAGGTGAATTTACAAAGATAATTGAGGTCTGACGCTGTGACATGCAGGCATGAGTGGATTATGAGACAATTGGCCTCTGGGAACAGACATGCAAAAGCCCCCCCCCCCCTCTCTATGTGGTCACAATGTGTCTCTTTGTAGTTGTTTTGTGTCACTATGGTATTGTTTTTGTCTTTTTGCAGTTGTTTTTTGTCTCTGTGTTGTCATTCTATGTTTCTCTCTGGTCATCTCTTCCTGGTTGACGCCTGTCTTTTTGAGTCACATTTTGTAGGTGAAGACCAGGGGTGCCCGGTAGACCCGTTCAGTAATCCATCCACGCGTACAGGTTACAATAGATTGAGTATGATCCCTCGCTAATCCAATATGTGTTTGTGTTCTAGAGTGTGGTAATTGTGCCCAGACTTTACTGCATGATCTGGAGAAGCTGGATGATGAGATGGTAAAGATCAAGACTCGACTGGACAACGCCACTGCCAGCGCCACATCTCAGGACAGGATGAAGAAGCTGGCAAAGGCTGTGTCAGACACCAAGGTAACACTTCAGTGTACTGTAACCCAGCACTGTAGCTCTGAAGGCTACCGATAGGGCTGTAGATGAGGTGAAGAGCACTTAAAGATATTTAAATAGTCATAGAGTCGGTGTAGACACAAATTCCACAAAATGATGCCAAATCCAGGTGCCTTTGTCTCTTTATAGTTTGCACTTTGCACATGTCCGTTTCTTACACAGACATGCACACAAATACACACACACACACAAACACAAACATGATGGCACAGTATGGGTGTGCTTGTTCAAACATTCAACATTCCAGCTGATAAGCAATCTCAGTGAATTTTGTCCCACATCCTGTGTGTCAACACAAGTTAGTGACCACAACACTGGATGCCAGTGCTTGTCGAGCCGCCTTGTCGCTCTTCATTCTCTCATAATCTTACATTCCCTTCATTCTTTGTGGATTCACAATGAACACACGTGAATAAGCAATTTGCAAGCAGCCCCCATCAGCCTCAAGCTTCAGCACTCTACCTACAACATCTGAATTTTCCGTCTACTGTGCTTTCTGCAGATTCTTGTCAACAAATTCACCTCCGCCCTCAACACCGAGAAGTCCAGAGTCAACCAGCTGGAAGACGACGTGAGCACGCTCTCAGATGACATCGGCACACTCAAAGACAAGGTAGCGCGACGGAGATGAGGCCTACTGTAGTATTTTATTCAAATCTCAGCATGTGATAATAAGTGTGAAAATGTGTATTGTCGGTCTTTATTTTAGGCGGCTAAGACGTCTGCTGATGCTGACAAGGCTGTGGCACAAGTTGGAAAAACCCACAACAGGGCTAAAGATCTGGACTCAGAGATTCAAAACATGCTGAAGAAAATCCAAGGTAAAGAGAACTTAAATTCAGCAGCACAGCCGTCTGCTCTGTCTTTCAGTGACGAAATGTCTTTTTATCTACTTTCCTTTGGCGTCCTAGTTTTTTCTGTTTTCTGCATTTATATTTGGTTCGTCTGCATTCTGTAGTGTATCATTACAAGTAGTTTAATAGTCTCCAATACAATTTAATGACCCCGATTCTAAGAGCCTAAATATTTTCTTGACTGACTGAGTACTTTTTGTGTGTGTTTGAAGCTCTGCTGGACCAACTGAAGGATGAAAGCACCAGTGGTAATGTCATGCCCAATGAAAACCTGGCTAAAATGCTAGAAGATGCTCAGCGCATGGTGGAGGAGATGCAGGATAGGAACTTCACCCCTCAGACGACAGCTGCTGAGAAAGAAAGAGACGAGGCTAAGAAACGTACGATACTTCAGTAAATACTTCAGAGTTGCTTTATCAAAGCACTGTTGTTGTTAAAAAAGTTAAACATCCCTGCAGACCGGTCAGAAACATGTCCATTAACCTATTCTTTTCTGTTTTCTAGTGCTGGACTACATCAAGGCTAATGTCAGTAAGCAGTGCGACCAGAACGAGGGTGCAGCAGAAAAGCTTCGGGGCCTTCTGAAGGGCTACGAGGCCAAGCTGAAGGACCTGGACAAGGCTCTGAAGGAGGCGGTGGACTTGCTGAAAAAAGCCAACACCCAGAACGGGCTCAGTGCTCAGGCACTGGCAGATCTGCAGGTAGTAACTCTCAAGTCAACTAGTTAATCAGTTATGAGAAACACAAGGGCTTGTTGATTTGTTTAATACACATGTACTGTATAGTTGTTTATAAGTATAAGGTATTATGTAAACAGGGTGAAGAATACCTTGTAGGTTATTTTTGCTATTTACAGTAATTCCACAGTTGTACTCTAAACTGACGCATGCGCTCCCTACAGAAACGTATTAACGACTTAAAAAAGGAGAAGGAGACCGTTGAGGACCAAATGACCATGGCGGAAAATGAGCTGCAGAAAACAGAGGATTTGGTGAAAACGCTAACTGACAGCAAAACGGTACGTTTGCCAAATTGTAACTTGCATGTCCTTTGCCCGAAGTTTTTTTCTGTACTCGGCATGAGCCACACACTGACACACTGTAGCTATGTTGCATAAAAAGGCCTCATGTCTGATCTCACACGAGCGAGCGAGCGAGCTGTCAGGTCCCAACATGCCGTCCGCTCAGATAACGATCCCTGTTTTTTGCTCGCCGTTGGTTCAAATTGGTATTTGTTACGAATAACTTGCACCCATTCACCTGTCCTTCTCCTTTGTAGGAGTATGAACAGCTGGCAGCACAGTTGGATGGTGCCAAGACTGAGTTGACCAAGAAGGTGAATAAGATTACCAATACCGCTGCCAAGAAGGACATTGTGGAGGCTGCAGAGGAACATGCTAAGAACCTTGCCAAGCTGGCAAAGGAACTTCAAGAGTAGGTCGTTTGCACATATAGTAAAGACACACTATCTATATTATAACCTTAGGGCTAATGAGTGGATTTAAGGGAAACTTTGCCTGTTGTTTATGCTAAGTAAGCTTTTCTTGGTGGTCCAGTGCTATCCAAGCATAGTGTGTAATTTGCATCTGTTCTCCATGTGCCCCTTGTTATCCTGTATTAGTGCTGTTAAGAACGCAAGTGGACAGACTGAGGTTCGGAACGCCAAAGACGCTATTGATGCCTACAAGGACATCACCGATGCAATTAATGCTGCTGAGGCTGCAGCTAATGAGGCCAAAGGTGTAGCAAACAACGCCCTGAATGTAAGTCACAGACTTGATTCCTTCGAAATTAAGGAACTGCACACTCTTCTTGGAATTATATGCAATTCGTTAAGTTTCAGTGAGAATATTTTAGTATATTGTTGTATTTTAACCAATTTCTTTTTTTCCTTTAGAATGTAAAGAAACAGAAGCTCACAGAAAGAGCAAAAGACCTGAAAGAGACCAGTGATGAACTACTGACGAATGCAAAGGAGGCAGAGAAAGACCTCCAAGGTATTCAGCCCTACTATGACACTGTTGTTTTTAAAATAAGCCAAAAGATGGTCACTAATTCTTGTATTTCTGTAAAAGGCACTGCAGCTGATGTTACTGACCTGAAGACCCGCCTGAATAATGCTGACAAGAAGAAGAAAGCTCTTCAGAAAGAGCTGCTTGATGCAAAGAACCAAATAGACAGCAGCAACAGAGGTAGAACAAGTCAAGGCATTATAGCATAGTCTATTGCCAGGGTTCATATTTCCTCTAATCACTCCTTTCTTCAAATCAGATGACATCAGCGGTATGATTGATGACGCCAAGTTGAAGGCAGCTTCAGCCAATGACACGGCCACTAAAACTATGGACAAACTGAATGACATCAGAAAGGAAATTGGCAAAATCAGTGTCCCTTCTGTAGACCCTAACCTGGACAATATTCTCAACGATGTGGACCAGACAGGTGAGAGGCCTTGCGTCACATTAGGCAATACTTTTCTTTTTTTTTGGGGGGGTACAGAGTAACCACTTTTTATATTATATGTTTTAAAGATTAAAAGTAAAGTACTGCATTTTTTACACATTAACAATTTTATCTCTCGCTTATCTTCTACTTCCAGTGAAGGACTTGCTGAAAACCATCCCATCTCTGAATGATAAGATCTCAGAGGTGGAGGACCTGACCTCGCAGTTCCCATCCATTAGCAACGTTTCTGACAACATCAAAAAGATCAAAGAGCTCATCGAACAAGCCCGGGACACAGCTAACAGGGTGAGGTCCCACTCTGTAAATACATCCATGACCAAGCCCAAATCAAACCAATGTATCCTCTATTTTTCCTTGATGGGTCTAATTCCCTTTTTTGTGTGTTTTCTCCAGATTGTGGTCCCGATGAAGTTCTTGGGCAATGGCCACGTGGAGCTGCGTGCACCAAATGATCTAGAGGATCTGAAGGCCTACACGTCCCTGTCTCTGTCGCTGCAGAGACCTCTAGGGCAGGCAGGCAGGGGAGATGGAAGACGTAGACGCAGACAGGCCGGCAACAAAGAAGACATGTTTGTGCTGTATCTTGGCAACAGAGATGTAAGTGACTCCAAATGCATGTGAATAGATCAATATAAATATTTAGTTTGTAGTGATTGTACACAAGGCATTAACAAACCGTGTCTCACAGTCTTCTAAGAACTACATCGGTATGGCTCTGAGGGGCAACAGGCTGTTCGGTGTGTACAAGCTCAACGGAGTCGAGTATGAGATGAAATCGGATTTCATCAGCAAGTCCGTGTCTGAGCCGGCCACGTTCGATAGAGTGGACTTACGCAGGTAAACTTACTACAAAGCGTTCAGGGGAAAAGACCAGGGGAATTTGTGAAGAATTTGCATGTTTAAATGTGATATTTTTTCCCCTCTTCCAATTCAGGATTTACCAAGATGCAGAAATGAACCTCACCAAAGATATCACTTCAGACAAACCACTAGGGCCAATTGTGACAAGACAGAAAGGAAATGAGAAAAAGAACCTCCTGGACATCAGTCCCAGTGATATTGTTTTCTACGTTGGAGGCTACCCTAGCAACTTCGCTGTAAGCAACAAGGAAATAAGAACAGCAATACTATACATTTCTTTATTTTCAGCAAGTATTGGTTTTATTAATACCTTTCTCTGTTTTGCTTCTCCTCAGCTGCCAGCTTCTCTCAATTACCCCATGTACAATGGCTGCATTGAGTTCTCCTCTATTAACAACAAGGCCGTCAGTCTCTACAATTTCCAAAAGGCAGAGGGAATTAATTTAGAAATACCATGCAAGAGGTATGTCCTAATATGATTAGGGTTGACTACACTCTAGATGTTTGTGAACAATAAACATGCTTCAATGCCTTTTCAATGGCATGTGAACCATTATGAATTATTTTAGTCATTATTTAAACATGAAAAAATCTGTTTTGATTATTGTATTGCCATCTAGTGTTTGACATGTTTAGTATCACCCCACCCCAGTTTTTGATGTCATCCCTGTGGCATGAATGGATAACATTTTTTACATCCCATCCCTTTGTGGTAGCTCCCTGAACAAGGGTGTAAAATTGTATTTATTTTATTATTTTTGAAGATGTTGAGATCTGGGTGTTTCCTCCGTTAGACGATGTAGGTCAGTTTGCCTTTTGCTCGTGTTTGTAAGTGTGTTAGCCCAACGTTAGACCAGTGAGCTCTCTTTCCCTGCCTCTTGCCCAATTAATGCTTGAGAAGGCTTTAGCCCCTCTGTGATCCTGAATACGTGGGATAGAAGAGGGAAGATTCTTTGAAGATGGTTGAACTTTCAGACATATGAGCAAAGGCTATCTTGTCTGTAACTTAAGATGGAAATATAATTTTCTGACTTTTTCTCCCGTCTTTCCAGAAATGTAGCTCAAACGGATTCTGACTTCTATGAAGGCACTGGATATGGTAGAGTGGTTATGGATAAACCATCTAACATCCGCTCCATATCTATGGACGTCTACACTCGTTCACAAAACGGTCTGCTGTTATACATAGGAAATGAGGTAAATCATCGTTTGTGTCTATAGAAACGTAGAATTATATGTACTATTTGCAAGAATTTGATTACTCTATTTCCCCCGCAACATAGGACAATTACTTCGCCGTGACGATTGAGAAGGGAATCATTTTCCTACATAGTAATTTGCTACAAACTCCAGCTACAAATAACGAAAAAATATTCCCGGTAAGAAGTTTGTTTTTTTTGGTTTTCTGCAATCACTCAGGTTGTTCCCTGATGGATATGGTGACTCAACCTTATAGCATTTGTAAATCAAGAATCCTTAATTCAACCACATCTTGCTCCTTTGTCCTTTCTTCAGCTAAGTGACTATGCAGAGATCCGCATCATTGGTAGAACGGGGAAATTGACTGTCGTTATGTTCAAAAAAGAAGTAGCCACAGCCGACATTCCATTTATCGACAACCTATTTGCAGAATATTACATTGGTGGTGCCCCAACAGACTTGAGGGAAAGGTACTTTAGCAATTTTTATCTTCATCATTGCATGTTGAAAGGTAGGTGGTCACCTTTCCCACTTTATTGAGAGTATTTTGTTCATCTTCACAGACATAATATCATCATACAGCCGTTCAAAGGATGCTTGAAGAATATGAAGCTGAGTGGCGGCTTTACACCTCTTACCGACCAAGTGGGCGTCAGCAAAGGTTGTCCCAAGGATTCCTTGGTAGGACGTTGACCTCTGCATTCCGAACCAGTTGCCAGCATTCATATCACTAACCAAAATACACTTTTGGCTTTTGTGTCTGCTAATTAACTAATGTATAATGTCCATGTTCTTGTCTAGGTTTATCGTAACGCAGAGTTAAGCTTGGGGAGCTCCCTGTCAGCTAACCTCGTAGGCTTTAGTCTGACCGATGACATCACTGTCTCCGTCGGATTCAAGAGCACAGAGAATGAGGGTCTCATTCTGCTGGACAAACATCTGGTCAGTCCTTACATTTATTTTGAAATATGATGTTTTAATTGTGACTTTATGAGATTGGAGTTGTTTGAGACAACAGGTACAACTTGGTCACATTTTAAAACCCTTTTTTTTTCTGTTTTCCAGGCTAATGGGATGAATCTTGCATTGGAAAATGGCCATATGATCCTCAGTTTCAACAACAAGATCTGGAAATCAAACAAACCGTATCACGATGGCCAGTGGCATTATTTAACTGTAACCAGAAGAAGTGGAAGGTATGAAAGAGGCAACTTATATTCAAACATAAAATAAATATTTTAGTCTGTGGGTTGGTGATGTTAGCAGATATATGGGCTCAGTTTCACACAGAAAATAAATGAACGTTGACAGTGACACCCCTTCCTTGCCCAGCAGTTGAAATGTATAACCTGTAAAATACAATGCAAAAGAAAATAAATAAACTCTAAAGCTAGTGTAAAAAAAAAATACTACGATGATTTTTTCTTTTTTTTTTACAACAGGGTCGAGCTGCTTATTGATGATGAAGACGAGGGTCAGGAGCAGAGTGGCAGCACTGCCATACCTGACACAGGTGGCTTCTTGTTCCTGGGAAAAGACAATTTCAAAGGCTGCATTTCCAACCTCTACACAAGACGGTGATATTTCCTTACTTTGCCTTGCGTAGTAGCTGCATCATTTTGAAATGCATCAAGATTTGTGTACAGCTTTTTCATTGAAGTTGCACAGTGATTGTTTGCCTGTTTATGTTACATCTGTCATTTGTTCTGTTTGCAGGCCAGACAATCTGTTCAACGCTGAGGACTTAAGCCATTTCAAGACATCTGGAGATGTCTTGCTGGATGTGTGTACTGCTGACACTTTTCCTCAACTGATGCTGGACCGCGCCTCTAACAAGGTGAGAGTTTGTTTATTGTTGCTGTAAACGAGTGAAAAAGCTGACATTTGGATGAAATAATCAAAACTTATTTTCAAAGCTTATCAACTTGCTTCTCTTTCATTTGAATTAAGTGACATTATTGTCAACGACTAGAGCAATCCATCTTGTTTAAAGGTAAAACTAGCATACATTATGAACATGAGGTGACTCTATGATTGATTTCACTTACAAGCAGTAAGTCATACCCATCTTTACCTTTCCCTTTTGTAACGTTCATACATTTGTAAAGGGCAGATTAATAATCGCACAGTGTTTGTCTTATGTTGACATTGTTTACATTGTATTTTGCTGCCTTATTTCCAGAGATGAAGAAGAAGGAGCCCTAAGAACTGCTGATGCTGACAAGAATCTAATATTGACATGAAAAAACTGGCAGCTTGCACCACAATGTTCTGTTGCTTACGCAGAAGCTCATTCATCTGCAGTGTACTTAAATAAAAAGTTGCATGGACATTACCATTAATCATAAGAATTATTAAATGTTCTGTATATCTGCCTATTCTATTTAAAACAAACAAAAACTTGTGAATAACAAGCTTGAAATCAGCTCATGTCTCTTTTCTTTCTTTCGTGTAACTCAGTAATGAACCACTTTCTATCATTCATTCACCAGCATGTGCCGTCTTACACACTATTGTCAAACCTAATGGAAACACTCACAGACATGCCTGATTATACAACGATATAAATCGTAACGTCATCATAACAGTTCATGTCCAATAAACAAAACCTGCGTCTCAGTTTCTCACCATCCTCTGGCTCATGACGCTGTTTTACTTATCAGAATGCATGAGAAAATGATTATGACACACTTTCATATTCTACTTTTATTGACAAATTGTAATTCAAAATTGAATGCATATCAAATGGAAACCCTTGCTGTTGTGGGCCACTGACGCCCTGTGAGATTTTATTACATAAATAAACTTGTCTTGACTTAACAACCAAAACTAAATGCATAAGTGTACCACTTCTCGAATATGAATGGGATCCCAGCAATAAGGTTGAGAAACGGTGATCTTCATTATAAATATGTAGCCAGTCGGAAGTTCAGGAAGGCATTTCCTGAGACGAAATGTTGGTATTTCAGAGCTAAGCTGGACCTCACGATGAAATGTGCGAGGCCTAGAGGAGCTTACAATGTTCAGACACATTATCAAAGCATGATTACATCATTTCTTCAAATCTCTGTGGATCTTGCATGCCCACCATAATATACTAAGCTCTATTCTTTTGACGTGAAGCATGTGATTGACGGAGGCCATATCACCAATGCAATCTATTCTCCAACAACCACTGACCCACAATAGATGATGAATAATGGATTCTCAGCTGCTGCATGAGTTCAAACAAGTGAACAAAAATAAAATCCATTGACGCTACCGTCTGGACTTAATAGATACATTTATTTATTTACATTTAACTAAAGGAGTAACAAAATACAGAAGAGACGTTGCTCTGTCAGTTAGGATTCATGTCATAATATCACACATAATTTAACACTGTGTGTAAGAGGATTTTTTTTGGGGGTGTCTCTCATCCATTACTGGTGTTTTCTGTTATACCGGGACTACAGGAGCCATCTCAAAAAGGTCTTTGAGTCGATTTACAGTTGAACAATCTCTGCAACTCCATCACAACTTCATTCCTGTTGAAATCACTCAAATCATAATTCCTCACAATCCAAACACACCTCTGAGTAAACAGAAGGTTTATGGGTGTTGTGCTGCTACAATGAACTCAACCTGATAGTAAAAACCTCAATGTACATCTAATGTGTAATTACAAAATCCACACTGACCCCCAATCATCACTACTAACTAAATGAGTGATGAAATCATAACTACCAGGCTGTACTTGGCTATTTGTCTAAACTATTGAATGCTGGTTGTTAACTATCTCTGGAATACATCTGATCTGCACTACAACAGTCAGTTATTTAATGTAGTAGATCAACAGAAATTGTATCTCCAATAATTCTTGATATTGGTTTTAGTCATTTTAAAAGCAAAGAAAACATTCTCTAGCTTCGCAATCAGGAATGTTTGCTGGTTTTCTCGTTCTTCTATGATAGTAAACTGAATATGTTTTGGTCTGTCGGATGACTATTCTTTTACATTTTATTTTACTCGATGAATCTACCAAATAATACACAGAAGAATCGAATTGTGAAAATAATTGTTAGTTGAATCGTAGGCTGCATTCATTTATCAGTGAACATGTCCTCAGTGTTCTCACCTGCACACTGCTTGTGGAGCCCCAATTTGATAAAGTATATATGGTATTTTATATATCAACTATGATTATAGTCATTCTTACCACCAGATATTGTGGTAAGCTCCCATCTTGATTTGCTGACAGTAAATAAGAGGAACCCCTTTGGAGACATCCTCGCAGATGAGTGAGCAAACAACGATTTGAGGGCCTTCTTTGTACATTGTGCTGAGTGTCTCTTTTGTCTGTTTGTGCTCTTTTAGGATGTTGTGATGCAGGCGATCAATGAGACTCTATCAGCATGTGCACTGCCTGCCTTGATTCAAAATGCTTATCGCATGGGTGGCCCTGTTAGCAGCCTGAGCTACAGCATTCCACTACAGGTCATGCAGCCCAGGCAAGTACACATGCATGCACACACACATGCAACGTTCAGTGGAAGATTTCTAAATGAAGCGTGCTTGGCCGAGTCTGTCATCTCAAGAACTATGCTACGGTTATATCAGAGCTAACACACACAAACACTAAAGATGGTGTCTTTCTCTCTTTATTCTTGCCAGGCCCCACTTTTCACTGGATGTCAGGACTCGTGCTCCTGAAGGCCTGCTGTTCTTTGCTGCTACCAGAGGAGGGCGCTCTCATCTCGTTTTATACATATCCAAGGGCAGGATCAGACTGTCTGTGGGCAAACAGAAGGAGATCTTCAACAGGGAGAAGTACAATGATGGGAAGTGGCACTCGGTCAGTGGACTCGCATGATACAAATCACGTGTTTATCATGATGCTACCATGGATCACACTATCCCCTTCAAGAGCAAAGCTAAATATTCTGTCATTATTTATGTGTATTGCGAATATGTTGCCTGCAGGTCATTTTCAGTTTGGAGAAGAAGAAATTCCGACTGGTTGTAGATGGGATCAGAGCCCAGGATGGTCTGCTGACAAATACTGAGATGACATCCATGCAGCAATTTGTGTTACCTGTGCACCTGGGCAGTGCCCCAGAGTCCCTTCAGAGAGAGCTGAAGGTAAAATAAAAATCACACAAATTCACACACTCAAACAAATTGTTCACAAGTTGAAATATCTATATATTTTTGTAATTGTGTTGTTTGTTTTGCTTTTAGTTGAAGGCCCTTCCAAAGCAAAGTGTGTCCGGCTGTATCCGTAATTTTAAAATTAATGGAGCACCGATGTCAAATCCAACCACAAACCACGGTGCTGGCCCCTGCTTCGAGGGACAGACACAAAGAGGGGCTTATTTCTCAGGGAATGGAGCACATGTCATTATCAGTGAGTCCATCTCTCAGATAGCAATCTGATACTCTGACGACTATAATGATTTCTATCAGCTACTGTTGGCCATCTGTAGGAAATGCAACCGCATCCACGTAATTTGACTCCTCCTATACAAGTTAAAGAGACAAAATGATAATCAGACATATAGTATAGACGTATCCAAAAAGGTGGTAAGATAGACATGTCAGTGAACATGAAAAAAAGGAAGTATCTTCAAGAAGAGGGCTGTAAGTGATCGTATGTGAAATTTGAAGGTTATTCCATTTAGCAAATAAATCTTAATATAGATAAATATAAATGTATAAATATTTCTCTCAGAAATATTTTACATATTCTACTTAATTGCTATAATTTTTAGTCGGTATCCTGACAAGGGCTATGTATTTATGTCTATTTAAATAAGATACTGTTTATATTGATAATGTGTGGAAAATAAACACAGAATTGTCCTTGAAAAAAACTGCGAGGTCCATTTAGCCCATGTAATGTATTTTTTAAATATGTATTGTACATATTTGTTAAATTGTTCACATGCTTGTAATGTACAAACATGCGGGGAGACATCTTTGCAGATTCTGTACAGTGTGCAGTAAAATACACACTAGATATTACCTGGACTTGATTAAAGAACTCTGTCTCCATGTTCTCTATAATTAGTATGTTAGCCCTTTCAAAGAGACTTCAGTGGAAATTAGTTTCATGTCAGTTCCTTCCTTCTAAGTAGCTATGAGACCCGAAAGAGTCTCCATGATATGTTCATTTCATGGCTTTCTCCTCATTCTTTTGATACTTATGGTCTAAATTACGATATACATACATTACAACTCCCACGAAGACAACCATACAAATATCTGATTTGTTTTTCAGATGACTCCTTTACTGTGGGCTCCAGCTTTGAGCTGCTGTTTAATATTCGTCCGCGTAGCCCGACTGGACTCCTGCTACATGTTGGTGATTCCAGCTGGAACCAATATGGACCTGCAATGGGCCACTATCTCACTGTCTACATGCTCAGAGGAGAGGTGAGGCCTGACAGTCAGTTTCAAGACGCCACATCAGCTGGTTTCTTTTCCTGGCTGGATACTCGTGACCCAAAATATTAGTTTTTGGAAAGTAGAGACTCAGTTGAACCGGGTCTGGATTGGTAAAACACATCTCTAACTGTCTGTGTCTTTGTTTAGGGGACTTCAACATTACAGAGCAGATCTTACATTTAACTTAGACTGTAAAGGTATCTTTACATAAGTTTGAACTTGTGTTTGAACTTGCTCCCATTCACAGGTGGTGGCACAAGCCAACAATGGCAAAGGGGAATTCAGCGTGTCGGTGAAGCCGAAAGCTTCTTTATGTGATGGATTGTTTCATAAAATTTCAGGTAAAATGCACAGAGTCACTTCATGAAAGACATCATTCACGACAAACTAAAACTGCTTTTAGAACTTATGAGGATACTGATATAAATTGTATTTTGCATTAAGTCGCTGTCCATGTGTCTTCTAGTGATCAAGAGGAAAAATGTTGTGCAACTGCACGTGGACACAATGGACCATTACAAGATAGGACCACCTTCGTCCACTATACATTTGACCAAAGACTCATTGTATGTGGGTGGCATTCCTGGTGAGTATTAATCTGTTAATCTGAGATTTATCTAGTTATTTTTGATTTTGTGTGTTTGTATATATATATTTGTGTACATGTATTTGTGTATTTATGTGGAGATTGAAATATATCCCATATTACTATCTAACCTCAACCGACACCCCTCACTCACCCATCAAATGGATCAGACATAAATGGACACAAACGCACGCACACGCACACACACAAACGCACACACACACACACACACACTTTGTCTTACTTTGTATAATTTCTTGGCTCATATATGTGTTTATGTACTTGTCTGCACTTGTTTTGTACTCACTTTTCTACACAATTAAAAATAATAATAGTAATTTTAAAAAAAATCTGAGAGTTAATCTAGTTATTGAAATGTTTGTTCAGTTTATTCATACATACATTCTCACATATTCACCCCATGTACCGTTCTGCTGCAGAGATGGCAATGCAACAGACGCTCCCCGTCACATCGTCCTTTGTGGGATGCATCCAGGATATGAGGATCAACGGTGACTCGGTCTCTTTCGACAGGCCGTCAGGTGTGTTCGGTCCGGTCAACCTCAAAGAGTGTCCAGGCTGAATGTCTCACTGCATCATCATGAAACAAACCTTGGGACCACGTCCACCGCCAACCATGTGCAATCTGTTACCAAGACAGCGAATGTGTTTGTGTGTAAGAATGTGGATTTTATGAGGTGTGCAATTCAGTGTGTGTGTGTGTGTGTGTGTGTGTGTGTGTGCGTTTGTGTGTGTGTGTGTAAAATAGAGATATGAGCAGCAGCTTACAGGTTCATAATATTTGCTGCTCGGTTAAACATTTCTGTATTTATTTTGTGATAAAATCATGTATCAGGGCACCACTTCACATATTCTAACAGTTGTTTTAAAGTCTGATGTGTTGCTTCATTGATTTTCTGGCAACAATTAAATGCTTCTGAACGTGCTTGTGATTGGTCAGGCTAGGATCAACCCAGCACTTTAATAAGAAAACAAATGATGCCTTTTTGATGGTGCTTTAATGTAGATCATCGTTGTTAGTTTTTTCTTTCGTTTTTATTTTGTTTGTTTGTTGGAAAGTTTCTACTAGGATAATTACGTTTACAACCATGATGCTCAGTTCAGTGACATTTCAGGGGCTGCCCAGCTGTTTTACATACATATCCACATGTCAGCATATAGAAATCTGCATTTTAACTGGTTAATAGTCATGGAGTCTTCACACAGGCCATGAAATCACATGGTTTTCACCACTGTATTTCTGTTGTTCTGAATTAATTCTCCATTTTTGCATTCCTTTTACTGCGCGGCTGTTCATGTCAGTTACGCAAGACAACAGCATGAAGTTTGTGGAGCATTGTCTATGAGTTGAAAACCAATATAGATGCCATTAGCTTCTAATAAGTCTCACAAGTCATATTTGGGAGCATTTAGCCCATATTACTACAATATTGATAGTAATACAACAAAAAACAACAACATGTATTTGATGCATTTAAACTCCCCAGCAAATTTTTACTTACTTGCTTTGTACATTTGTTAAAAATGTGTAACAAATGAAAAAATATGCATGATGATTGGACATGATGATTTTTTACATGCATTCCTGTCTTGTGACCACTGATTTGTAAGACAATTTGTAATTAATGTTCTTTATAAATACTTCTCAGTGACATAAGTATTTCTTGAAAAATATCTTTTGTCTTGGGATCATGCATTTTTTCAGACACCCGGGTATTAATTGTTAAATTGCACTCACTGATGTCTCATTTTGTTATATGCCTGTTGCCTCGACTCCTAGACTAGTCTAAAGACGCTAGGGGAGGAGGTTATGAAAGGAAGCGAGGATGTAAATACTGAGACATGAGAAGAGCCCACAATCTGAACACAATAGACAATTTTTCAAAGCAGACATTTTGACTTGTCAGGAAAAGCGCAGGGGAAATTGATCACTTTAACAATGTCTCACGTCTGGTAACAGGCAACAGCTATCAAAATAAAGTATGTGATAAAGTATGACCGAAAGCGTGCAGTGTAAATACACACAGTGAGCCAAGTTGGGTTGTTCGGTCCCATCTAAGGGGAATAATGCTCGTAGTGATTTTTGACAAGGGGTCCATCCCTAAAGGTCGAACATATTTGATAGCATTGTACCAGCGGTTGCTTTATGTGAGCTGTCATGCATTTTATAACACTACCCGAAGATAAACATTTCTAAAATGTGTCCATTATAGAGTACAACATATAAATATATGTATTTTGTCATCAGTGATCCTTCAACATTGACATTTGTCATAATGACACCTGAGTTCACTTTTCAACAAATGTTGTAATATAACATTGAAAACAGTGGCACTGGTGGTATTGGCTGTGCAGCGCCCATTTTCAGAGGAGTGAACCATTTCATTTTTAGATTAAAGTTGATTGTGCTTCTGTAGAAACTTGCTGGAGTGTTCATCACCACCTGTTTCTTCATCCTTTCGAGGCTTCGGCCTTTTCCTCTTTTGTGCAGGACTGACCTAACACCACAGTATACCTGAACAGAAAATAATTACTTTAACTTTGCTGGTGAACAAAAGCACAAACGTAATCCTATGACTCATACTTACACATATTTACTTAATTGAATTCCATAATTCATTTCGAATCCATGTAAAGATAGTAGTAATTCGTCAGGCTATGTACAGAGGAAACTCTTGTGGAAAAATATGTCGTGGAAAAAGAATGTACAATGTAATGTATAATCCCTGTGTGTAATAGATAACATTTGTAGAGATGCTAATCAACAACCTTTCTGAAAAGCATAATCTGAGCTGTATTCCCACCATTTGTAATGCTAAAGCATTAAAATAATTATCAGTTTAAAGTAGAATGCTTTATTCTGCTCTAAGGATAGATTTGAAAAGTGTGTTAAATAAATCGATTGATAATAGACAGACAGCTACCACCGCAATGCTATTATATATATTTTCTAGCAGGGCTTTATCCCTTATGTGGTGATGATATATTTGTTTAACGACTGCAACGTTACGCCTCCTCATCCTGTGAAATGTCACAACATTTTAACTTACTCGGACAATTATGACCCGACAAAGCGCACTAACAGAGACATAGCCTATTTAACTGCTTAAAGATGCTGGAGAATATCAAACATATCCACAGCTCCTCCACTGATTAACTCGCGCTTTTCTCCGTTTGAAAGCCCCACCTCGGCTGATTACTGCGTAGTCGCGTCTCGCGTCTGATAAGAAAACCGATAATTCCGATTACACGCAAAGGCAGCACATTTCCTGTCTGCACATTACCACACGAACCACCGGCAGAATACGGAACAACCAGCGTCTGTAACGTTGGTTGGCCGTTAGTCATTTGGACCTGTTCGCATATCAGTCTCCTCGCGTCAGACGATGAACATGACTGAGTTTGCTCTAAACTGTGCCACCGGCTGAGACTGTTGTGCCTGAGAGTAGCTCGCGAGACAGACCGCACCTCTCCTTCTCCGCGGCCGCTTTCCAGCTCTTCTCCTCCGGTACCGTGTGTCTCAATGGCGGACCCAACAGAACCGGCCCCGGGCAGCGTGGCGGATGACAAGACGGACGATCTGAACGAGGCAGAGATGGCGCTGAAAGGAATCACTATGCTCCTCAACAATGGATTCAAGGAGAGCGACGAGCTCTTCAGATTATACAGGTCTGTGAGTGTCTAGAGACAATGAGGCAAGATGTCTGTCTAGTTTGACGTCTGGGAAACATTTCAGTGATCGATACTTAAGTGTTCTCTACAGGGGAGGGTGTTACAAATGTAAAGGCATTGTGTCCACAACTACTGTGGTCAACCAACCCAAGTGGAAGCCAGAGACACTTGTTCACTTCACTGTCTTTGCTTAGCGTGCAACACAAAAACCACAACATCCTTGCACCATATGATCAGGTCACAAGCTCGTTTAAATACCCTGGGCAAATATATCCACACCCACAGTGTGACTTGGAAAGCTCCAGCAGTCTAATGACTTTGTTAGAATAATCTTGCTGTGTGTGTGTGTGTGTGTGTGTGTGTGGTGACAGCTGTTCCATCAATCAGTGTAAATAATATACCAATGTTTACACATAATGAATGCTTGATAGGTTAGCATTCCTCTCGTGCCAGCCATGTCAGCTGGCTTTCACTTCTGATGAACAGGTTTGTGTTCAGTGTCTCATCTTGGCCCAGCTGGTTTGTTCACACCACAACCGCCTGTCAATTGCTGGATGGTCGCACGCATCTGTGTATGCTTGTTGTCCAGAACCAAGTTGACCAAAGTAATTAAGTATGTAAAGATTAAATGAGCTAATAACCCAGTGGTTCCCATCCTGAGACCTCATCCAGAGGGTATACGAGGCCATTTACAGGATTTTGTTTTTCTATGCTAAATAATATTTTTTTATATTACCTTTTTTAAAGGGCTATTCAATTAAAACAGGGACAAACTGGGTGACCTCATTCTAAACAGCCTGCTAAGGGTCACAAGTACACATGTATTTGTGCAAACGGGGTCAGCACACACTCGGACCATAGTCCACTTGCTGGTTACAGGATTCTGAATACATTAAGTCATGCTACGCTGTTTTGCTTTCAACTTGAATGTTGGTGCCACAGAAGGGCAAACCCTACGTGTCCTAACCCCTGGTGGAAGCTCAAATGTCACCTCCGCTAATTATGTTTAGCACTAGGTGTCGTCCTGTTTTTGATTGCACAACAGCAGCAACAAAGATGGAGGGAAGTGGACTATGCATTGCATAGCGACTGAGGATGTGTTGACCAGTTTCCTGATAAGGTTTTCCTACGTCTCTTAAGGTGGCTCTGTGCATTGCATTATGGGTGTGAGAGATTATCTCCAAGGTTATTTCCACATTCCTAATAAATCATATTTAGTCTTTTGTCTGTCTTCATGTCATTACAGTGACTCCATCTAGTGCTTGGTGCAGGGAACCGGCTTGACACATTTTTGTCATTCCACCCATAATCTTTGTTGGCATCTAGATCTGTTACACACACACACACACACACACACACACACACACACGTCTCGTCACTGTTCTTTACCCTCTGTTTCAGGAACCACAGTCCTCTGATGAGTTTCGGGGCCAGTTTTGTGAGTTTTCTGGTGAGTTAAGAAGTAACATCCTTTTGCAGCACTCTATTGTTTACATAATGGTCCAAATGCTGACAAAGAAATTATGGTAAATTCCACTTTAAAAAGCACTTTCGTTTCACAATAAGGTTCAAGGAATTACCCTGATGTTCCTGGCAAGAAGCCAGACTTGTTTTTTTTCCTTAAATTTTCAAGAAGTGGATTGAAACTCAATAGGAACAAGAGGAAGTTCATTGAAATGAATTAGGAGTGCAACCCTCCCAAATAAACAACTAGATACGCATGTTCAGAGATTACCGTTCAAGTTTGAAATAAACATATACAAGAGTTGAGCCTGCATTGTGAACTTTTTCGACAAAACAAGGAGTTGACGAAACAATCTTCTGGTATACTGAAGCTGTCGAGATCCAGTCAATCAACAAACCTTTATTCTCTTAACTTGGAGTACTTGCTGCCACCTTCAGTGTTCTCTGAAAACGCAGGACACGTGATGTGTGAGCTTTGACCTCTTAAGGGTGAAGTGAGCGAATGAAGAATGATCGACATACAAGGGGAGATCTTCATCAATCTTTTATAATTTTCCTCTCCATTCATTTGAACAGTGTAAAACACATGAAAAGACCACATGACTTGTTTGAGATAGCCAGAGACCTGGTACCGCAGCACAGTGAAAATCCTGGAAAACAAATTCCAGTCATGGAAAACGCATGTAAATCAAGAGACAAAGTCAAATGTCCTGGTGAACCTTGTGTTGTGCTGGAAAATAATGTTCTCCTATTTTCTTTTAACTGAGAATGAACTACTGGTCTATTTATCAGAGCTCTGCAAAATGAATAACATTGCCATCTGAATGTCGAGTTCTGTTCAGGATGATATTAACGTTTGAACGGTAATGTTAGTTGATGGACGAGAGTATTTTGAACAGACTGAATGTAAATAACAGGATTATTTATTTTGGCTTCCTTTTTTTGTAGAATGCCATGATGACGTTTGAGGAGGAGAGAATGCAGATGGCCTTTGAGGACCTCAAAGCCACGGAGAGACTGTGTGAGAGTGAGAACGCCGGTGTCATTGAGACCATTAAAAACAAGCTCAAGAGGAGTGTGAGTAACCCTCTTCCAGCATTTAATTTAACAGAATGTATATATGATATATTCATGGAACAAATGTCATTTTCCTGAAAAAGAGCATTTTTATGTTGGACCATAATGTCCAGGTTCGCTGTATGTTAGCTTGCCTGTTACATCCGTCTACAAGTGTGAGCTGTTTGTGTGGGCAGATGGACTCTCAGAGGTCCGGGGTGGCTGCAGTGGATCGACTCCAGAGGCAGATCATCATTGCCGACTGCCAAGTTTACCTCGCAGTGTTGTCTTTCATCAAACAAGAGCTATCATGTAAGGGAACCGCTCAGCAGCACTTGTCGGTTAACTCTGAACGCTGCACATTTGCAGTTTTGTATACACACTTTTTTTGAAATTTTATTTTTTTTACGTTTATTGCATTGCATGTTTCACTGACCTCAGCTTCAATCTCCCGGCAGCATACATCAAAGGAGGCTGGATCCTCCGTAAAGCCTGGAAGATGTACAACAAATGTTACAGTGACATAACGCACCTGCAGGAGGGCAGAAGAAGACGAGCCTCTGAACAGCAAGCGACGGCGCCTCCATCTCTGTCCAACCACGGCCGCTCCTCTTCGCCCGGGCCGAGCCCGTCCCTGAGGCCGGACGGCATCAGCCCAGAGGCTCTGGATCGGCTAAAAGGTGCGGTCAGCTTCGGTTACGGCCTCTTCCACCTCTGCATCTCGATGGTGCCGCCGCACCTCCTGAAGATCGTCAATCTGCTGGGTTTCCCTGGCGACCGCCTTCAAGGCCTGTCGGCGCTCACGTACGCCAGTGAAAGTCAGGACATGAAGGCCCCCTTAGCTACGTGAGTATGTGAGTGACTACATTTGTGTATCTGTATTTTGGCTGTAGCTTCAAAATGATCTAACTCGTGCAGTCGTAAACAACATGACAAAGTAACGGAAAGAAGTGCTGCCTTGTGTTCTTTCTTATTCCTTGAATACGTTGGCAACTGTGTTACTTAACCCTTTATATAAAGAGTGGAAATGTGGTCATGGCTACCAAGTAATCTAAAAGTTGATTAATTAAACAATCGTAACACTGCACTTTGCTATTTGGCAAGTCACTTCATCAACCGTTTCGACCAAAATCCATCCAAATTGTTCTGACCACATGGTGTCATCTTTCCACTCTCACTCATGACCGTCTCTGTACTTCCCTCCTAGCCTGGCCCTCCTGTGGTATCACACAGTAGTGCAGCCCTTCTTTGCCCTGGACGGCACGGACACGCAGGCGGGCCTGATGGAGGCCAAATCCATTCTTCAACAAAGGGAGGCTACCTATCCAAACTCCTCCCTCTTCATGTTTTTCAAAGGCAGAGTCCAGCGCCTCGAGGTGAATATATGTTAACAAAACATTTTATTATCCCGTTCTCCTGCCTTGAGAAAGCTCAATATTGCCTCACACTGTCACTCACACCTCAAAGTTCCTCTTTCTAGTGCGAGATAAGTAGTGCCTTGACGTCCTTCCATGATGCGTTAGATCTGGCCTCTGACCAGAGGGAGATTCAGCACGTGTGTTTATATGAAATAGGTACCATTTGTCCCTCTCACATTTCAAACCAGTTCGCTCAGTTCTGGTCCGCATCATGATTTCTGATTGTTGGACCTTTAGGTTGGTGCAGCATGATCGAACTGAACTACGGAGAAGCCTACAGGGCCTTTGAGCGACTGAAGACCGAGTCTCGCTGGTCCCAGTGCTATTACGCCTATTTAACTGGAGGTGGTAACAGTTCAAAAGAAGAAATTAAGGACATTGCTTGTGAGTTTGGCACCGGCTCATAATCCATGTTATATTTTGTTGTGTTGTGTAGTGTGCCAAGGAGCCACAGGTGATCTGGAGGGAGCTGTCAAGGTTTTCAAGGATGTTGAAAGACTTTTCAAACGCAAGAACAATCAGATAGAGTTGTTCTCCACGAAGAGGGTGAGTACGTGTCCTGCTGATTTTCCATTGCACATTTTCTGGTGAAAGTACAGTGAGAATAAGTATGTGTGCACATATTTTATCAGGCTGAGAAACTAAGGACCCCCAGTCTATCCAAAGAACTCTGCATCCTGTCTGTGATTGAGATTCTTTACCTGTGGAAAGCTCTGCCCAACTGCTCTACTGCCAAGCTTAAGACAATGATACAAGGTACTCCATATGAAATGTTTTAATCAGCAGACGAGTGTTTGTTGTCATCGGGAGTAGCATAACTGTATTTATCTTGTTCTAGTCCTGCAAAGGATCGACGATGCCTCATGCACAGGCCTGAAAAACCTGCTTCTTGGTGCCATAAACGGCTGTCTTCAAAACACCAACGATGCCATTCAGGTACTCCTATATGTCAAATTTAATAATGCAATGTGGTGTGGAATTATGAGGCAATACAGGATACACTGCACTTACCGTTGTAGTTGTAGGATTGTTTTAGTTAAACAGCATGCTCATCACATAAGTCACCACTGTGGTGATGAAAGCTATACCTAATAACTAGTGTTTCACCACAGATCTTTTCCTCCCTCTTTCTTTGCAGTTTTTCCATCTGGCTGCAAGAGATGAGGTTGGTCGTCTGAGCAACTCTTATGTGCAGCCCTACTCCTGCTATGAACTGGGTTGTGTGCTGCTGAACAGCCCAGAGGCAAGTTTGTGTGTGTGGTGGTAAGAGATACTGTTTCCCTTATCTGAGATGGTGGAACGGTCACATAAATATTTTATTGTTTTTTCCCCAGTCTGCAGGGAAGAGCAGAGTGCTGATGCTTCAGGCTAAGGTATAGTAGGTTTCTTAATTGCAGTGCTTTTTTGCTCTGTGCTTTCTGAAGAGGTGTGCTGGTTATCATTTGCTTATTGATTGTGAATTCACTAAGTAGTCGGTAGCAAGTAGCATGACTAGTTCTCCGCTAACAGGCTTCATTATTAGTTTACCCCTGACGAAGCCTGGGGGAGATCTCTTAGATGTCTTAACAAAGTGTTTAGGATGGACACCTGATCAGATAATAGCGTAACCAATAAAGTAAAGGCAAGCCAAATGCATGGTTCCCTCTGAAGTCAAGGAAAAACAGCAGCCAACCAACTCCATAGGCCGTGAATGTAGACTGGGTTTGTGTGGTCTGAAAAGCGACCTCCATGCAAACAGGCTTGTCGTCCCCCTGCTCAGTCACCACATCATGATGCACTGACCGAGAAAATGAAACTCCCGTTGAAGGAAATGTTCTCAGCAGTCCTCAGAGTGCGCAAACATGTCCGCCTTCACAAGGAACGACGCTCATTTGCATAGAAAAGCATAGTCTCCATCCACGTTCTCAGGGAACCGATGAGAGTGGCTGGCTGAGGCTATGCCAGGTACCTGTCACTATGTTCATACGGTTACCTGGACGTCCTCTGTTATGCTGCCCCATGTAGACACGGTTCTGTGCCCTCCTGAGACCTCAGACTGCCCTGTTGATTTTGCATTGTCTGACCTCAGCATGTGGTCATGACAAAGCAAAGCAGGCCACATCCCATCCACACTGAGCTTGACAGAATAGTATTCCCCAGAGAGGTGGCTGAACATGGTAAGTAATAACGAAAAATTGTGACTAAATAGATGGCGGAGATGCCGTTCCAAAGGGCTATGTCGGTACAGTACATGGTATCTGCATTGCCTGTGGTACACTGAGTGCAGCAGCTCTGATGTTAGTGGGATGGGCAGCTGACAGATCTCCCGCAACGGCCAGCTGTGCATGCCTTAGCTCATGCAGCAGTGTCTGACAGGAGGAGCAGCGCAGTGGGCTCTCTGCTTCTTTAATGGCTATGCTATGCTGCTACATGGTTGGGCAGTGAGAGCATTGATCAGTCTGATGTGTGCTGACTGCAAAGCACAAATATAATATTTGATTCTATTGTTTTTGTCTCTTTTCATGGACTATGCAGGAGGACTATGCCGGCTATGACTTTGAGAACAGGCTCCATGTTCGTATTCACTCTGCTCTCGCCTCAATGAGGGCTGCTGCAGCGCAGCCGTGACATTTTATCTGCACCTCGGAAATGTCTATGAAAAGCCACAATATCATTCAGGTCACTAGTGATACACTGTTTTATTTGTTTTAATTTATATTTTTGAATTTTTGGATTCTGAGCCAATGCATTATTTTGAATTATGTGCAATACACACATGGGATAACAGTTACAGGAGGTATTTATCTGTTACTGTACTTTTTAATACATTGGGTATTTATTATTGTTTACATGGTTAATTTCAAAACTAGATGCCAGTCAAATCAGATGAAAAGCAGTCATATTGCTTCAGGTCAAGTAGAGTAATAGCACATATTCAGTATTAACTGACTCAGCCATCTTAGTGTTGGCTTCTGACGTAGACATTTGAGATGTAAATGCTTTGCTAATCCAAACGCATGAGTGCTAAAAGTTTTGTCTTTTGTGTAGCCCCTGTTTTTTAAGCAGAATTGTTTTTATCAGTGTAAATATGTCGTGCACACAGGTTTTCATAGATCAACATGTTGTGAGTGGCCTAGATGTGCAGTGCCACTGCTGGCTGTATATTGGTTCCTATTTATATTGTTTTGTTTTAAGATAATAAAATGAATATGGTAAAACTGAATTTTGTTGCATCCTAAACTTGATTAGGTGTACATGATGAATGCACATGATGCATTGTTCAACAACAAATGATCTTTTAACAGCTGACAAATAACGCTGCTGATGTTAAAGGGGAACTTTGGTATTTTTCAACCTGGAACATATTAGAAACACCTTAATACTAAGGAAATAATTCTTAAATATAGTCACATATAATTACTGCCAGGAATTTGAAACCTTGATTTTTCTGATCCCCTTGGGACAAATAGAACAGTCACATCATTTGTTGGTAAATCAGTAAAATAGGAAGGTCTAGACAAATGATCTGTCGCTAAGCGGTCACCCAGGCAGTGGGGTTGACAGCATATAGTAAAATATCTATCTTTTGAATGCCACTCATCTTGTAACACCTTAATCCAACAGACACCAATCTAATGAAGATGTTCCCTTAAAATTACACCGAATAGCACAAAATCAAGAACGTAGTGTCAGCACAAAGCTTTTATTTAGCAACAATAGAAACTCTGTTTTGATACCCAAAAGACTGATAACAGAAAATACTAAAACCTATAGCAGCTATATCCACAACACGAGAAAAGGAATATTCAGTGCTTGATCGTGAAGGAGGTAAGGCTTGCATAGTTCTAGTGATGCACATGCATTTATTGTGATGTTGAACTTTAAATACATCAGTTTAACAGCTAATTGAACTTAACTATGGCAAGACTTTTACACACACAAATCTACAGGTGCAGAGCTAGTGTCCCTGGATCAGTATAGTTAGAAATAAATGCTACTGTGTCCACAGAGTCAGGTAGACTTATGTGCAATGCTGTTATCAATACAATACATAGTTTGGGACTTAATGCTATATATATATTCTAAACAATTATTGATAATTTCACTGATGTGGTACCGGCTACAGTACACTTGTCAGATGTAACATTTTACTTGCCATCATCTTTGCAGCAGACTATGCAAACAACTCGATTTTAAACATTTAAACACGAAATAAATATGCACCTGTTCCCAAGTTGTCTATTTGGATACTTCGTACTGCATTTTAGCATGCACAAGTACAATCAGTGTTAAATCAACGTCTAATCGATGTGCTCAGGATGCACCATCATGCCCTCCGTTGTAGCAGTTTGTAGCGCTGTGGCATTGTCCGCTCTGTGCACTGAAGCTCATGAGTAAAATGTTTCCACACTGACAACACACTCATTTTATATATTATTGTGTGTCTGTGTGTAAAAAATATACATTCTAGTTTTTCTACTAAATGCCTATAATCATACGTTAGTGGTCAAGAACCACAATTAATAAGCTTAAGAGGTTTTGTGCTTCACTGTTCACACACATCTATAAAGAAGAATATATGCCACTGGTGTTCACTCAGTGTTTTACTGCTTCAAGACATTTTTCAAGCATATTTCCTCGACCCTATCTGCCGTTCTGTATCGGCTCTGCAACATTGTTGCATGCCCTTGCACAAACACCAGTAGAGATAAAGTCCAAAAGGTAATAAAAGTAGAAATCCATGTTGTGTATGTGTATTCTTGTGTATTTCTACTTATTAGTAAATGTCAGGCAGGTGAGTGTAGTTCCTCTCCCAGTAGCCATTCAAGTAGAGCCAATCCCGAGCTTTGTTGTGAGGGTTTTGTCCTTGCTGAAACCACCTGCAGAGTTTTAACAATGAGAAGATCGACTTAATAGGAGTGCAGTGCAGCAGTGAGGATAAGAGGGCGATATAAAAGAATCACGGCAAATCAAAACACGCACAAAAAGCAGAACAATGTTGCTTGTCCACCTTGTTCAAACTAGATATTGAGTATCAAACACTGGTGTCTTTGTGAGTGCCAGTGTCTTGACAAATGCATTTCAATAACACACAGTTGCAGTTGTGAATTTTGTCCTGAGGAGGGTGGTGTAGTGCAGCACTTCACACCAGACAAAACAACAGCAAGAAGGCAAAACTTTGAACCAAACCTTGGGCCAAGGGCAGCGTTCCTTCGCAATTATAATAAAGGGGACGGTGTATAGTTGATGACAACACAATAGGGACGCAATTAGTAAAACTAATCAGGAGTGGAGCAATGACAGCACATCATATTACCCACTAACTAACCTTGTTTTCCATTCATTGGTTGATTTGGTGCGATTTTTCCGGGCCATTCTCTGCTTTTCCTCAAGTCTCTTCTTCTCTGAACTTGCCACATCTATAAAAGGCATAGTTATAGCACCTCATAGATAGTATTTAAGCTGGTTGTGACATAATAGGGAATCAAATCAAGGCCAAACACTGTACCTATATCGCCATTCTCCATGGCGCGAATGTCGGGTCTGAAGCGACTGTCTGTTGGGGGAGTAACCCCCTCCATGCTCTTGACCTGCTCATTTAGGTGCATGGCAAATGTGGAGAACGCATAGAACTGCCAGAGAGACAATTACATTACTACAGAATTTCAAATGTCTAAAAAGGACAAGAGGCAACAAAATAACACTACCTATCACAGGATGCTATGCCTGATATTTCATTTTTAAATTCACAATATGTTCTCCCTCCACCCCTCCTGTCTTCTCCTACCTTGGCTGAGTTGTCTGGTCGTGGCGTTATCTTCCAGATGAGCTCACTGCCTGGGATGACCTGGACCGTCTCAGCATCAGGTGGAGGCATCTCTTCCGGCTCCTCATCCACACTGCCCTGGGACCACACACACACACACACACACACACACACACACACACACACACACACACACACACACACACACACAGCCAAGTTTAACTTGAACTAAATGGAAGCAGAACACAGGTGATGTTGAAAGCACTGAAGCTGAATACCCGTTTGCTGTCTTTCTTTTCATCCGAATTCTTTTTGTCAGTCTTTTTGTGGGCATCAAAGGTATCGGGATCTAGTGTGTATAAGGATTCAGTCCATTTGCCATATATTGCATATAGCTTCTTTTTGCTGCAAAAAAAAGAAGAGAAAACGACGGTTAATAATACACAGCCAGCTTTGGCTGCCTTTGATATTGGATACATCACCACCGAGCCTTACTGTTTTGACAATACTGATCATTAAAACTACTGGCATAAACTGGTCACATCACATAAGACAAATGCCAATGTAGGAATTTATGACACATTCACATACATATTAAACATCAGGTGAACAATGAAATCATTAAAAATGAAATGAAGAAGACACCTTTTGTCTAGGATGTATCCCTCCACTTTATGCAGCTCTTTCCCAAAGAGGCCACAGGGCTTGAACATCATGCTGCATCTCTCTCCGGTCCTGCCACAGAATGACAGACTGTTTACTAATTCTCTTTCACTATTCTCCTTCTGCGAACTGAGGCTTTCAAACATTAATTATCCTGCTCCTCCACTCTAATGGCAACTGTCCCAGTTCCACTCCCATGATCAATAAGCAGAATGTGAAAGTAGACCAACACCCGACTGCAGAGCGCAGAGAGAAAGATATTCACGCACCAGAGTCTCTGTGCATGCAAATGCACCGGGCGAGAATGACACACAGAACAGCACAAAGACAATGGAATTTCTATTACTTGTGATTGATCACTTCCATGCTGCCGTACTGCTCAATCCAAAGCTGACCGACGATGACGTTGTGGACACAACAGGTGGGGTTTGTCCAGGTGTAGGCTTCATTATATCTGCAGAGGTAGAGACAAAAAGTAGCGCGAGATGACGCTACCTCAAAAAGGAATCACATTTTTGCATAGAAGTCTTGGACTGTGCACTCACTTGGGCAGCTCCAGTGTGATGAGGCCCTTGGGCTCAGCTTCTATGCTCTTCCCGCAAAACTTGAGTTTCGGGTAGATGGAGCCATGGAAGACAAAATCCTCATTGAGGCCCTCAGCCTGAAAGGCACTGACTGGAGGGTGATGGCTCACTTGCTCCGACACCCACCTGAAGCCTAAATCTTCTCTGATGGAGAACAGGGACATGTTCGGTATTGACATTATGAGATAAATCTTCACGAAATACAAAATGTTCGATGTAAAGGTGTTCTCGTGAAACATAGTTGTGCGTTTAAGGTACCGTCTTACCTGACGAGCTCATAGGTCTCCCCCAGTAGTGGGTTAAAGGGTTTCCCAGTCCTCTCCCACTGCGACGCTACAGCAGACACAGCAAATGCTGCCACACACTACAGGGCATTGATGTATTTTTAACCAAATTACAGGTAACTAATTCAATATTGGATAAAGATAGAAATTAGAATACAATATAACTATTGTGTCCCACAATAGCATGCCAGTGTTTGTTTTTCCCCCCAAAAGACAAAAAATATAAATAACAATGATACAGCACATTATAAAAGGCTCTTAACTAACATTACAGTACTATTTGACAACAAAAGACATCCCTTTGGAGATTAGCTTTTTGTATCTATGTTTCTACTTAAGAAAGTTGACTTCGCATTGTGGTACCTTCATCCTCTCGACAGAGTCTGTTGTGGCATTGGCCTGGTGGATGAGGTAGGTGTGCTCCATGTATTCTGTTAACCGCTGAAGGAAACTCAGAGGCTCATTAAATATCACAGGCATGGCAATCTTTGACAACTCCTGAAAAAGATGTTAGAGAAGATACAGGAAACCGTGAGGACACAGACTTCCAGAGTTACCAGTTTATTAGGTACAGCTCTAACATCGAATACAATCCAATACTACAGAGTTAAATCCCATCTTTGTAAAGTATATATATGGTGTATAATTCACTGACACATTTATATACAGTTAAATATAATAATATGAGAACTGACAAAAGTTATTTATATCTGTATAAAGGTGTAATTGTTCCAATCCTTCACAGCTCAATTCAATGTGTTGGTGGTATTGCAAGCTGACACTATTGTGCACACTGCCATTATTCTGACATTCAATTGTAATATCTGCAACAATAATCTTTTGCCTGACCTAATGCAGTGGTTTGTAATATTAGAAAACAAAAACTAAGATACATGTAATTCACATATCTTAAATCAAGAACCAAGAAATTAATAACAATGACTATATTCCTCAAGCCATAAGCTAAGGACTAAGGACAAAAACTAATTTGTCACAATTACCTAACTTTTAGTCTTCACTCTACACGCTATACTTAAAAAAATATCTCAAGTGAGTCATTCATTTTTTTCTCCCAACAGCACGTTAAAACAACAAATAATGGGTAAATCAGTCAAATGAGAAATGCCTGTTCTCACCATGCCAATGCATTTTTTCAGGATACTCCAGATGCTGACGTCATTCCTCGAGAACATGGGAGTCGGTAGAGATGTTCTGTAGGAAAGCAGAGTAAAGAGACGGGGGCTCACAGTCACTATGAGAGAGAATTACAATAATGAACAGGGTTAAACTTGGGAATCAATGGGGAAGCGTTGTTTATTGATGCCTGAGGGCATGTCATCTGGTCTTCTACACACTCAAAATGATTTGCTTTTATAATATGTCACTGAACACATGTCCAACATCTACATATTGGTATTGGTGAAACCACATATTAAAACCATTAGCTTTTACCATTTAAAAGCTGCAGAGCAGACTGCAGAGCTTGAAGCACCATTTGGGTGCAAAGTCACCTGACACCTGTAAGCTAATGAGCTTTCAGCTGGTCTGGTCAAGCCTCATGCAATACCCATGAATGGATGTAAAACTGCATATGTGCCTGCTGTTTTTGTGGTTATGAGACTCACTCTTTAAATTGATCTTTTTGCACATGAAGCTTGGCTCATAAACAGTTCTCACTTAAAGATAATTCTATTTGCTCACCCTTAAGATGAATTACGATTGAACTTTCTCTTGTCTTAACTTCTCCACATGCAGCTGCTTTCCTACGCCCTCTCAAACTTCGCCTTTGCTGCTTGAAAAAATATGGTCTGTGGTGTGACCGAGTTCATTTTCCAGCCTTGCCAACAACCGAGGTGAGGACTGCTTTACAGGTATGCTTGCTGAAGGCAGATGGTGTCCTCGTTTAAAAACCGAGTGCTGAAGCAACTACACAAATAAAAGCCATTACGTCAGCTAAACAAGCAGAGGCAGGGGGTACAGGCTTGCTCCATCTGTAGGATGAGCAGCGCAGTGATGCATGGCAGACTATACTTCTGGCCTAGTTTGTGTTCCACTGGCCGTGGCCCCAAAATATATCTTTCTACAAAAAGGACTTCTTTCATTGGACGTTGTCATGTTTCAGTTTTTCAGAAATACAGAAAAACTTTTAAACAAAACTGTGTTGTTCAGCAGAGGATACTGAACCACAAGGCAACCCTTCGAGTGAGGCCAGATTATCTATACATGTGAACATGCTAAATCAATCCTTGAAGCATGCACGTCTTACAGCCAACACGGCCAGTCTTCAAATAATCATCGTTACATGTATAAAAAGAATACATATTTACACTACTGTATATTTGTGACCTCAAATCAAAGACATTTTTTGTTCATTTTGTAGAGAATTTATGGACGGGTAGTTATAAATATGAGAGAAAAATGTTAAACAACTAGATGTAGGCTCATCTACAGACAACCAGGGACAGCAGTATCTTTGAATGACAAGAGTAATTCCAAATAAACAGACACCACGTAAATCTTTAATGCACAACACACGTGCACACGCGTGCGCACACACACGCACATTGAGATAGTTAGCCAGCCAATCCCCTTTCCTCCAACTCCTATACTGAGCCAGCACATGCTGAATTATTCACGGCTCACTTGTTGGATTAAAGAACAGAGGCCAAGCCAGAATCAGCATTCACAGAAATGAAAGAGATTGTCAAATCTTCACGGGAAAAAAAAATAAAATGAATAAAAACCTCACAAAACCCCCAAGCGCTATGCTGGTTATTCGCTTGGAGAGTTGGATCTGTCAGGAAAAACAAAACAGGTTATTCTCTGTGGATTGGGTATTCAAACAAAAAAACACTGACTACAAAAACAGACAGGAATGGAGAGGCGGTATCCCATTTCATCAACTGTGCCTTTTACTACCCTCTCTCTGAATGAGGTCTGCAACCTGTCATCAGGCGCGCATACTAAAAAGTCACGTTCAATATTAATTTGAGTTGCTCTGCGATGTGAAGTCATACACGACTGAATCCTGCCATCAGCTGTGACAATCATCTTAAAGCCTTGCACATAATAAACAGCAGACGGGTTGTTCGAAAAGAGCACTCGGCATGGCTGACTCTACATTTCCACTCGTTCCACTTTAAGCCATCATTTAAGCCAGTAAACAAGCATGACATCATAACCGGAGCGTGTCCCACCTGTGATTCTCGACTCCATTGTGCTGGTTGCCATGGTTACCCTCCCCTGACATTCTGGTAGGCCCCCCGGGAGCGCTGGGATGGCGGCGGCTGCTGCTGAGAAGGGGGGCGTCTCTCCCCTCGTCCTCTTCACGGGAGTGACTGGCCACAGACAGGAAGCCGCTCACCGAGCGCTCCGAATCCGACTCTGGGGGAGGACGACAAGGGGCAGATCCCAGGTCATGCCAAACACTCGCACTCGCACACACACACACACACACGCGCGTACATACAGGTTCAAGTGGCCTGCTCAGAAAGCTGCAGCCTGAACAGCACAAAATAACTATTTGCGCTCGAGTTCCTCTCTAACTTCCCCCTCCCTGCTGACAGCCAAACCTCACAAGAGGATTGTGTTCCAATGAGAGGCCACACAGAGGCTTCATTTCCGCCAACATTGTTTGCTCTGTGCCTGCTGGATGCTACTCCTCCTCTGTCAGTGACATTACAGGTACGGTCACATGCACAAAGGGAGGGGAGAATAGTGTGTGTACACTATGAAGGAGGAGTGGAAATACTAGTTTGCCAGATATTAGTGCTTATTGCAAGTACATGTACTTCCATGATAAATAAGGTATTACAGTCTTTGAGGTTTTACTGGCTAGTAGATAACTCAGGGTGATCTGTGAATAATGCAATGATTCCTGAGACAGCTTTGTCCATAGTGCACAAACACATTGTAGAAGGGAGTCTAGTGTAAATAATCACCATGGGGAGGCTTTTGGGTTTAATGAAGAAGCAAACGATTTTACTACAATGTTGTTGATGCAAATACTGTACAAGGTAAACATAGAGTGCAGTCAACACTGTCAAATTATCTTTTTGAACTGCTGATGAATTGTATTATAAAAAACTAAAGCAGTAAGAGTGTCAGGCCAACTAATCACTATCCCATTACCCTTGAGTAGAAGAGGACATTTGCAGCGGTGTCTGTGCAATCTCAGAGACAGAGAGGCAAAGATGTGTCAATGTGACACACATGCACACAGTTAAGCTGTATTTCTTAACTATGCGAATTAGGCTATGAGTGAAAACTGTCAAGCCGTTCGATGCTAGATACAGGTTCAAATTGTAAAAGTTGCCCTGTAGAGCTTTCCTGCAGACAAACAAAATGTTTACATTCAGTGCTCCTGACAAAATGAATTGTCTTTGTCCTCGAGGACTGACGAACGTATTCTGGATGATTAAATGCCTTCCTCAAAAAAAAAAAATTGTCAAAGCAGATATTTTAATATTTAAAATCTGTTTGCAAGTGTATACAATTCTTCTTCCGTGCCCCACTTCTTTGCACTTTACCGTCATTATTATATTGTCATATTGCGTCCCCTGCCCGTTCGTGCACATGCACAATTCAAACAAAACAGGACCCACTCTAAAAGCATTGCCCCACAGCGCTACTAGAGGAGAAAAACTCCACACAATACCTCAACAGGGATTTGAGTTGGGTGTTTTTTCTCGTGAACCAGACTGAAGGCTTGTTTCACTGCAACTATGTCATGGTACGTGTATTGCTACTATTACTAAGGAATTGCAGTGTCAAGTGTGAAGTTGTTCACACCACAGGCCCTGCATTTGGCCCGTTCTGAACAGGCATATTTTGAACGGCACTCCAATAGCTTGTCTAATTTATGACCAGTCCAAGACCCTGTATTAAGAACAAGATAACCCCAGTAAGACATTAACTTCTTGATTACTTAACTAAGTTTCCACCTAGCGGCTGCTGACCTGACTGAGCATCGTAGAAGTCATCTTCAGTGAGGGCGCTGAGGGTAGACAACCTCCTGCTCTTGCACAGAGAGTGCTTGAGTTCGTGGTGCTCAGTTGCCAATGTCTGCAGGGCCTCTGTCAGAGCTTTGCTCTTCTCCACCTCCTGCTCGAACTTCAGGCTCCACACCTGCAAACACAGGAAACCCCAGACACCACACACAAGGTTAAGCAAATTAAGAGAATATGCCCCATATACTTCACACATGTTGGATCAATATATATATATTTTGATCCAACATGTGTGAAGTATATAGACAGTTGTGATTGACTGGTGATTTGATCGATATGAAGGTGCTTCTATAGTACCCACAGTGTGTGTGCGTGTGCGTGTGTGTGTCTTTGTATTTCTGATGGCAGGTCTTTGTTCTAACCCTGTCCACATATCTAGTTTCCTTCAGTCAGAACCAAACACCCCGGTCTCTGTGGCCCAGGATTGAGTGTCCCTTCAGGGCAACCTGAGCCAGGCCACTGTGGGACAGACCGGATCAGTGTTTCCTATTGTCGAACACGTCTTGTTGTTCGTCCCGTACCAACTAAACAGAAGACAGGCAACTCAACAAAAATCCACTAATCCTACCAGTAATGAAGTAGAATGAGATAATGGCTAAAACAACACATGCTTTTTGTAAAAAGAAAACTGCAAGTGCATTTCCAAACTCAGTGCATTATGATGATGAAGTATAATAAACAGACAACAAGCATTCACAAAGCAAATAACGTGCAGTGAAAATAGCACAGCCTCCCCGGATGAAAACGTGTCACCTTGGGGAAGGCAGCAAAGTGAAACGGGAGCTTGTAAATCAGAGTGCAAATGAGCAGGGCCAATGTCTTCTATTGGAGACGAAAAGTTCACCCTCATCACTTAAACTGCCTGAAGGATTATCAGTTGTGTGCACATGTGTCATGCACAAAGAAACACCTGTCAAAGCATCTGCTGATGTGCTCAAGGTGGGCTATAATTCATGCCTGTAACCAAGTGTGTTCTCTCTTTCAGATATGGAGCTAAAACCATCACGGGAACAATGCTTTCAGTGATCGCCACCGTGGAGATTTTATGTGATCAGCAAGGTCAAAAGTTAAGTTCTGCAAAATTCTCCTCCAAGATGTTCATGATCTGTGATATTACCATTAAAGTAACAGATGTGAAATGCACCCTGCTGTCTACCATTTTGTTGAAGGAGGGCCAATTTTACTGAGACTTTTGGAAATCATAAAACACATATTATAAAAAACAAACAGTATATGGATAATTACCCTGAGTGTATTCCGCAAACATAGACTGCTTCAGACTCTTCTGTGGCGGAGATCAGCCACACTTGATGGATGAGGCAGTGAAAACACGGAGGGACATATATTTACCAATTTGCTGATTGGTAAATATCAGCAAATTGCAAACAATGGAGCCCCCCCAAGGCTGCTGATCTGGCCTTTTGTAATGAATATTGATAAACTCCAAACCATGCATAATCGATGGAGGCACCCCAATACCAGCTAAGGTTTTTTTTATGTAAATACATTACCAAATTGCATAATGTAAACCCTGATTTCTTTTGAACTCTAGACTTGACTCAGCAAAACTTCAATAAACATAGAGTCCAGGAAGGTGAGTATGACTGATGTGCAACAACATGCAGATCCTATCTCTGCAATAAAACCCCTCTGGTCAGAACAGTTCTATAGCTACATTGTTTATCCAAACTGAAGCATTTATGGCCTTGCTACATATCACCTCATTTCTACAAATACACAAATTTGATGTAACCAAAAACAATCACACTAAAGTGATCTATAAGCACTCTATATAGACCTGTATCCTTGTATGCAATAAGATTTCTGCAATTGTGCCAGAAGCTCTCATACTACATCTTTCAACCAAAGGTTCAACAGCTGCCTGCCACAGTCAATGACACATTTCACACCTTCACTCTTGCTGTCATCACACCTGCTATGCTTGCTATGTTCAGCCCCTGTAGGCCATGTTCTGTGTGGAAATAGAAATACAGTTCAGTGTAGATGTTTAGATTCTGTTCTGTGATGTTTAATTCTTTTTTGAGAAACCCACTAAAAATCTCTGCGATTCTCCCCCCAACTGTACGATCAGTCCATTCATACAGATATAGAAAAGTGGGAGAAAAATAACTGGCAAGTTAATGCTTCCAATCAACAACAGAACAGTGACAGTAGCTAATGGGAGCCATTTCACATATCAAATGTGTGCTAATTAAAAGATGTCCTCGCATGCCCCAAATGAATTCATGCCTCTTACTATATGCATGGTGTAGAGAGTAAATGAGCTCGATGTTATTAACACTCCTTGTCCCAGCCACTTGGCTTAAGAGCCCATCCAGGAACAGAACACTTTGTTGTGTAACTAGCCCAGCCGGCTCTTTCGCTCGCACAGCATCCTCTCGCCTGAGCACAAACAGCGCTATTTTAAGCCCTGCTGAGGCTGTGTGCAGTAGCTGTTGCTGGAGCCTGGGAGGGAAGCTTCTCCTTGGCCAACACCCCATAGGGTAGACATTTTACTTTGTTCTAACATGTTGATCTCTCTGCTGAGGGGGAAGCAAATCCCAAAGGCAGATGCATTATAGCTCTATACAGTCCTCTGCAATTAATGTTACTGTGTTTGTAGATCATGTCTATATGATGGCTGGGAGCTAAGCAACTAAAAAAATATTAGAGTGTGACGTAAGTACCGGTGCGGCAAAGGGATGTAGCACCAATTACACAGGAATACTCCCAAGTATCTCTCCGTACATACTCTCCCTTGGCTAAAAGGTCACAATCCGAAAAAGACAAGGTTGAATATACACTTCCTCGTCTTATCCACATCTCGTATGACCCTGTATGAACTGAAAAGGAAGGAAGTCAGTGAAGGGACCAACACGAACATTAAGTTGTGCCCAGTGAAGTCCCTCCTGGGTGAGGGATGGCAGGCAGCAGGTCAGTTACCTATGTGGCCACGGTTAATGTAAAAGTCAAACGGTACTTTGTGCTCTCTCTCCAATCCCCAAGGGCTTGAAGGGCAATCTGATTTCTTACAGGCTGTAGACAAAAAGGTTATGAATGGCTGCAGAGGGGGAACAAAAAGGATACCATGCTGCCACTCTCCTGCCTTCAGAGCAATACAAACTGTCACACATGCTTATCTGTGTGTCACCACTAAGTGGCTTCATGCTGTAAGCCTCAATTTGTTTTCTTGACAGGTGTGGAAGCCTGCTGCCTGAGAAAAACTCCACCAAAGGTTGGCTTTTATAAATCTCTGTTGTGTGAATGAGAGGTAGTGGCACAGATCTCTCGACATTAAATGCCGTGTATTCACCCACCACTCATAATGTGCCCTGCACACACTGTATGCACCTGGCACTCTCAGTAGCATTCTATATTGCTGCAGCTGCAGCTGCAATGGGTCAGACCACATACACTGCAATTGCTATTTATCACGCTTCTCTATTTCACATCTGCCCAGACATCAAAGTGCAACAGCATGTGACTGCTGTATGTTATGCACTGTAGACTACATATGTGTAAGTGGCAGCAATAGGGGGAATCTAAAGCAGGACAGTGGGAGTGGGATTAGAGTTAATGCTGCTTAATACAGCCAATCTCAGCAGTGTAGAATATATAATCCAGTTAGTACATGTAGTAGAACCAGTTTAGCATGAGACCAGTGTCTTAATAAGCATGCTACATATGTTTGTTAATACATTTCCCTCTTATTATATCATCCGGTTGTCAGAATATGATTTAGTGTCCATTGTTATGACACTTGGCAATAACTTGGCAACACTTCTTGGGCGATGAGACTGCAATAAATGTTCTCGACCTCCCAGTGATAACGGCGTTGGGTTATTCGTTGAGTCAGGACAACAGCTGCTGCTAATTTACTCTGAAACGATTTTGTTTGCAAATGCACACATCGCTGTGTAAACAGGCTGCGTTTGGGTATTGTTGCGCAGTGTTCCAGCTGACTTCAAAAGCAGCATTTTATTGCATCCGATGGAAAATTCATTCACTTATCTTTATCTTGTTATACACACACACACACACACACACACACACACACACACACACACACACA